AGTGTTGAGGATGCAGCTGCTGGCATCTCCTGGCCTCCAGACTTGGACAAAAGTGATGTTGGCCAGGTCACCTGGGCACGTATTTCAGTGCTGTGAGTGTGCCAGTGTGAGACCACAAACCAGTGAACTCAGCTACTGATTGTCCAAAATAAGCCACTTCTCCCTTCCAAATGGTATCTGACTGGGTTAGCTGCACCAATTTCATTCAGTTCCACAAGGTTTAACCCTGAGGCTGCTTGTGCATCACAGGCAGCTCACCACCAATACAGCTCTGCTCGTTCACACACCAGTTAAACACTTCCATCTTTCCAGGATCCTCACTCCCCTGTCACACTGATAACGTGCTGGATAGCTCTGCAAGTTCTGTAATCTTGGTTACCCATTGGAAACTTTATCTTCATAGCAAGACTTTTTAAAACAAAAACACAAACCAAAACCAAACCAAATCAAACAGGTCTCTTAAGCACTCATTATATTCTTGTATTATTTTTAATGAGAAGAAAACTCACAAAAAACTAGATTAATATTCTAATTTTTTTTAAAAAAATCAGTTTACTAGTGTTCGCTTATGGGGTTTTTTTTTTTCATCTTAACAAAATGGGCAAGCTCTTAGTTTTCTGCAGAAAATGGCTGCTGTTGCTTTTTTTCAGGAGCACAGTAGAAAAGCTAAAAATTAAATATTCATACATTGAATATATTTTCAAGCAAGCTTGCTCGAGCTTTAGACCCAGCTTCTTCTTTAAGAGCCTGCTGCAGTTAAAAGAGAATAGAATTTAAACACAACAGTAAGATTACCACAGAACCTCTTCTGATTCCAAGCAGTTTTAAAAGCTTAGTATGTTTTTTAAATGCAAAAATCTCACAGAAGTAGTTACTTGGTACAAATAATTAATGAATTCAGAAGAAAATTATGCAGGAATTCAAAACTTCAGAAAGTGAAAACATTTTCTCCATTCAGATAAAGAAATTGCTAGCAGCAGTTCATTTAAAACCAATTCCTGTCACACTCACATTAGAAGGATGTTCTTCAAGAGAAAATAGAATGACACACTGATTCATTGACTAGCATGTTTATCAGGACATGCTGATAGAGAATCATTAATCAAGACTCCCTACTAATAGAAAATCATTAGAACAAAGCACATCAGCAGCAATGCCTCTTCAGTTATCAGGCCTTTCTTAACCAACACCTAACCTTGAGGCCAGTTTCTCAGTAGCCTTCAAAGCTTCTCTGACATAATTTATTCAAGACTCTTGACACAGTGCAGTCCTTCAGTATCACAACAACAGCTTGGAAATTAAGTACATAAAGGTGTAGGGAAACAAGGGCGAAGGGGAGCTCTTACTTTGAATGTACTGAAGCAACATGAGTTTAAATTCACCCAAACCAGATGTTTTCAAGACAAATGTTAGATTATTTCTTTGTTTCTATTACCTCAGTTCAGGATATATCTCAGTAGGATAAGGATTACTTTAATAAATAATACATGCTTCATTTTTATTTTTTCAGTGTACCTGCCATGCCATTTACTCTGTCATCCAAACAAAGCCCATGATGCGTTTGGACAGCCAGACTGGCAGGTGGCAGAGATGGACCCAGGTTCACTGAATCCTCAGTGTGAACTCTGATGGAGCAATGCTCTAAGCAAAATCAATGGCAGTCTAGAGAACCATGAATATTGCCACTATAGGTAGAAAGCAATGGAAATAATAAAAACTGGTTTTAATACTTCTTAATGATGCTTCACAGTTAAAATGGATCACTTCAGTTACAACACCATTTGCAAACTCTGAGGAGCCTCCAGCACCGAGAAGCTGAATCAAGAGTTCAGAAGCAGAAACAGACAAAACACAAGCTTCCATTGTTCATTGATGGTACAGGAGGTTTCAGTACGTTATTTTTGACAGACTGTTTTGGGTTGAGAAACTGAGATACAGAGCTAGATTTTTCCATGTTTTCTTCTCATTGCCCTTTTTTTAAGTTAGGTAATAGAATGGTAATCTTACTTAGCAGCAGCTGCTATTGTTTCTTCAAGTGTCTATCTATAGAAAATACAGCTGGTAAATATTAGGAATACCTGCTATGTTTGTTGTTTTTTTTTTTAATTGAGCTTTCTATAATTATTCAGTCTTCCAAGTAAATGAAGGCAATTCTATATTAAAAATTCCTTTGTTATTCTTATAACTTAACATATGGCCAGAAACAAAAATTGTTTTTAGATGTCCTGACCTTTAATGTTTTATACATTCTCTTTTCAATTAACATAAACATCTCCCAAATAGCACCTGGCTCCTGTTCTCTATGGCTTCTTTTTCACCCTGTGCTGACTTTGTATGTTGAATACCTTAATAAAATATTTTCAAAATTAAAATACCATATGAATTTTCTCAATATCTAGCAGAAGATTAATATTTACATTTTTTTATTGTTGTTTGGCTTTGGGTTTTTTTTGGGGGGGGTTTGGTTCATTAGGATTTTTTTAAACCTCAGTGCTTTCCAGCAACGAAAAACCCCTACTAAAGTTGGTATCAGTTGGTCGAAAGCAGAATGAAAATCAGAAGGCGCTCAACTGCAGAATGATATACAATTTTGTATTTAAAGTTCTTCTTTCTTATAAGAGATTCATTTTCCCACAAGTTCTCAAATCCCACTGTGCCCTCTAAAAGCCTCACTTAACAGTAATAGGACACCTGTAATAGGTTTCCCTGGTCTGTCTAATAGGGATTTGGGAACAAACTAGAAACATTGTTATCATTATTATTTTACAGATTTTAAATATATACTACTGCTTGAATATTAGGGTTTGAATTTGATGAGAAAAGCTTACTTATCCTCTAGATATCATTCTGCAAGCCACTGTGGTAAAGCTAAAAAATCCTCTAGGTTTCACATCCTGTGTGATGGCATTCAGTTTACTTCCTGATGCCCACCTTAGCTTTCTTCTGGTTAGAAAGAAGCAGTGGAGTAACTTGCTGGTCATTGGAGAGCCTGTGTGAGCCTTGAGTGGATAGAGAAGTGAGAGGAGTATGAGGATGCCATTACACAAGGTACATTCTCTTGACTTGAAGATTTTGACTGCAAAGAGGAACACTTCTAACAAGAATGCCAAAGCAGTGTTTTTTAAGTTGTCAGAACAAGGAATAATAACATTTCTTAAATAATTGAAGATGTCATCAAATCTTTTTTTTTTTTTTTTAAGTCTGCTCTCAAGGGAAACACTGTGGATTAGAATGGATTTTGTTCTCCTGCTGGTGGACATAGGGAATAAATGCAGTAAAATGACAATAAAATGTAGTGGAGAAGACATCTACAAAAGGAGACATAATTCTACAGCATTTACACATATGGGATAGACAGTTTTCTCTGTTTAAAGAAGTTGGACCTTCCATGAGACTTGTCACAAAGCCCTGATTTCATGATGAATCAGTACACACTCAGGATGTATAAACAGGCTCAGAAAAGTATGGCACATTGTTGATAAGGAAAAAAGAGAAAAGTTCAAGTCTTTGAAGCAAATCTGCTAATTTGGAAAATACAAAGCTTAGTTAGAGAGCAATGCACAAGTCAATAAATACCCAGGTCAATGCTTTGCAGAACCAACAGGTGCTGGATAACCCATCAAACAATATCAGGTTTGTGCCCTCAAAAGTTGCAGGTGGAAACAAGCAAGGTGGTGCTCTTTTTGCTGTTTGTCTGGCTCCCTGGTTTCAGAGTTGTATGGTTACTACCTGGGAGGTGAAAAATTTGAAATACAAAGCCAGCTGACACTGATAACAGAGAAGCAGGCAGAAAATGCCCTCCACAGGATGAGAAAACGTGCTTCATGGCTGTCCATTTCTCTTTGAAAACACCCATTTTCACCAAAAATAATAGTAGCCAGTTTTGCTGGTGAACATCTCTATCCACTTATATGGGACATTTAAACACATCCTTCTATTACCAAGTGCACTCCTAGAAACTGCATTGCTTCTATCTTAGTTCATTACAGCAATTAAGCATGTACTAAGAACATCCTTGACTAAATGCCTTATGGCAGTAGGCAAATTAATATTTGCCTCTCTATTCTCTTTACTTTTTTCACTACTTCTGCATCCTTCTAAGAACTCTGGAATCTGGAGCAGAAGAGGAAAGATACCTTTCATATCATATCTTTTTCTAACCCAAACACTAGACCCAAATTTAGGGTAACAAACGTTTACAGGCAAATTTCAACAGTGGCTAAGCAACTATTCCAGACAATTCAGTATCATTCATAACCAGTCCCTGGCAAAAGAACCATATCTAAACCCTCAAAAAGGAGAAGAGCGAGAAAGTGAAGATTTAAACCTCAATTGCTCAACCTGATTTTTGGAGAGAAGACTGGGCTGCAATTTCTGGTGTGTTAAAGAGTAGTCAGTGGAACATTCTGATACCTAAATTTAGTTTGTCAATGTGTTTAGCCAAATGAACAATGAGTGCTTTGGATCTCATTATTGTATGTCTAGACACAGAAGCAATAATTCAGTTATAATATGAGGAGCCTTGCTTTCAATATTACTGATTATACAATACTTAACAGTGCTCAGAGATACTATAATCAGATTAATTGTAGGTACAAAACAGAGAAGCAGCACAAAAACCACAACTGGCAAATTATTTCCAAATATTTTCTCCAATTATTTCCTTTACCTGTGTTTTATAGTATATTTGTAACACAGTTACAGTTATCTTATTCCTAAATACATTGTGGTACGTGTCTGACCAAAAAGAAAATTTGCTTGGAATCTAATTTGAACTAGACACACTAAATGAAGGTGAAGATGCTTTCAAGCTGAAGGGAAACACAACATTTCAAGTTGAGTATCAGAATTTTTGCACAGCTCTAAATTCACCCAAAAAGAGAAAAGTTTCTGTACAGCTGTTTCTTAACTTAGGTTTCAGTTCTATACAGTTGTTTCTGAACTTAGGTTTCAGTTCCTTCTCTGAGGCATTTAATATAAATGTACAGAAGCAAACTCACCACGGGCACGGCAGAGGAGAAGTATATACCATGTTTCAGACGGCTGCATATCATCCAACCGGCAGTCCATTATACCATTGGCCAATGAAAGACTTTGCCATAACCATAAAGATCTTAAAGAAAAAAAAACAGAGAAGTCAAAAGATAATCACACAGAGAAGAAGTTAAAACTGAATGTTCTGTTCCTTATTTAAAATACAGTTTCACTGCTGTTTAAAGCATACTTTTAGAACAACAATAACAAAAGAGCCTGTTCTACATCATTACCATCCAAAAAGTGATGGATACATATTCTCTCATAACTACTGCAATGATATTTGCTCAGATACTTCATTTGCAATTATTTTACAGGTTTCTTTACATCCAGCTGGCTTCAAGATTCATATTTTTTTTTCAGTGCTGTTTAACAATGGCAGTTTTATACATTGGCATTTTCTCAAAAGAGTATTTTTCAAGTGCTATTTTTCTTCTTGTTTCATTTATGTGGGGCTCTATCACATATTTTCTACCAAAACACAAAATCCACATGCCAAAATTATCTACAAAGGTGGATGATGGGGAAGACCACTGCACAAGAGCAGGCAGCTGACAAAGCCAACACCTCTCAAACAAGATACAGTACTCAACCTGGCTTAACAGCACATGGAGAACAAGGGACACCCACCACCATCAACAACAACTAGGAATTCCTTGTCTCTCTTTTGCTAAACACAAAGGCCAGAGTGCTACAAAGCTTGCCTGAGGATCTGATCCCATTTTTACACATTGGTGATTGGCAGAATAATAAGAGACGGGTTCTTGGCCAAGTGGCTGTATAGCACAGAACCAAAAGCCAATGGAGCTTCAATGAAAAAATTCACATCAGCAATTTTCAGGAACCTTGTTTTCCCTTAATTAATTCTTAGTAGGCCTCCTTGAAAGAACTTTTACACAGAGCCATTTTTTCATGGTTCCTCAAAGTTCCCAGAAAGTGCTACAATTTAAACTGAAACACTGGCTCAAACCAAAAACCTGACAAATCTGGGGTTCTTGAGTTTTGTGGTTTGTGTTTGTTTGTTGGGAGGCAGGGGTTAGTGTGTTGGTTATTTGTTGTTGATGTCTGGTTGGTATTTTTTTTGGATTTTGTTTCCTCAAACAAAAAGGGATGGGAGGCTTCCATCACTCTAGATGTATCCTATTTCAGTAGATTGAATTTAATCAGATTTAAATATTTCCTCTCAAAAGAGGCTTTCAATTTTAAATCTATTTAATGTCAAATCTTAGGTTAAAAGAAAGTTCAGATTAAAGTGAAAATGTGACCCCAGCACAGTGGTTCCTCTCTCATGAAACTCTTTTAAAGTCAGATGTTCCAAAATACACTTTTCATCAGATAAAGAATGAGATTTCATGAGATTTCAGGGATCTCTCTGAAGTGAGGTTTTACATTTTCCATAGAACTGCAAAGAACTTAAAAGCTAAGAAATTTATTCTCTTTTCACCTTTTATGAGAACAACTTAGGTAAAATGAATATAATTTTCTGACATTTTTTCATGGACTATTTTTGTTTGCATCAATCACACTTTTCTTTTGTCTCCCTCTTCTGCAATTTTATGTCTAAATTCTGTTGATAATTTAAGGACAGTAACATGATCCTTCCAAATATTTAACCCTCCTACTCTGCTCTTCTCCTCCAAAAACCCACTAAAAATGCTGAACGATGGGTTCAATTGAGTGTACATGAATAGAAAACATCATCACCAAAATAGAATAACCAACTCTTATTCATATTTTTTATACAAGGGAATTTAATTTCTAATTTTCCTAACCATGAGAGTATTTTATCATGGTGGAGACCAGCATAAAAGTTAAAACAAATATGCTTGGGAAAAGGCATTTTACTCACATATAATAGTTTTTGTTGTACATGTTCTAAATATTTTTCTGTACTCATTTTCTAATTCTCTTTCACAGGATAAAATGATGCATTTTCAAGTACAGTAAGGCTTTTTTCAAACAATCAACATTTAGCAGATCCTACAACATGCTACTTATTGCTGCTATAGCTCACATCTCTGCTATCTTTTCAGCACAATGAACAGGAGTGAGGAATTGGTCCAATACAAAGAAAATATGTGAAAAACTTGTTCTTTTTTTTTAAAGGCAGGTCTATTTTCTCCCTTTAGAATACTACTGAACCCAAAAAACTACTGTAATGGATGAAGCACACAGGGGTAGGCTCAGAGAGAAGATCAAGTGCCTCACGTGCTACTGTTACTACTGAAACGCACATCAAAACGCACCCTTGTTTTGAAAAAGCATTTTACTGGTAAATACAGTATTTATATGAATATATTAGTATTTTAAAACGCTATTTAATATTTACAGTTTTACTATGTCGATGCAGTATGCACTACAAGCTTTAAAATTTTAGGCTTTGTAAAGACAAAATGAAATTCATATCAAATGTGAAAAATATGTAACAGAATCAATACAGTTATTTGAGGTCTTTTACAGGACATTATCTTTCTCAAAGCCTGCAAGAACCATAGCTATATCATAAGCCCTTTCCATAACTTATTTAGATAAAGTGATCTATTTGTTATTTCATTCATCATTTTCAGCTGTGCACCTATGACAAGGCACCAGCCCAGCCCTGCCAAGACAGTAAGGTGGGCAATCAGATAATTAGTTTTTCCTTGAACAGACTTAGAATTCTCTGAAGGACTTCCTCCTTCCAGGTGATGAAAGAACTGAAAAACAAAGCCAAACTAAATAACCCCAAACAATAACATTAAAACTAGACAAAAACCTGTGAAGCTCAGCATTTAAGAAAACTGTGAGGAGACAATTTCCCACTCTCCTAGTTATTTCCTTTAAAAATATAAAATTAATGTGAGAAATCAGAGTCTTTTTTTACATTATCATATCTTTCCTTTACTATAAAGCAGTATATTCCACAAAATTTTCAGGAACTTTGCAGATTCTTCTTCACAGTGTGAGAGGTTGTAGAATGTAGAAAGCCATCAATAGGCACAATGAACAGGGTCTGGTAAGGTAACTGCTGAAGTTGCATTATAATTTCTGAACAAATACACTTTTGTTTAAGCAATTACCCTGTCTTAACTTGGAGGTAGATGCTGTTTAAAGTGAATGCACTCTCATGTCAGTGAATTAGAGATGATAGTGCTTGATAGAGATGATCAAGCACTGTGACTCAAATACAAGGGAATCGAGTTACTGCTGTGAAGTGCAAAGTTATTAAAGCATTTTAACAGAAGCCCCTGACCATCATTCAGTCACATGATTGAGGGGTTTGTCTTGCAGGACTAGATTCCTGAGCTGCACTTTAGGATGCTTTAGTGACCAATGTAAAAAGCTGGAAATGGTGTTTACACATTCTGATGACAGTCTTAATATGTCAAGAAGATTTCTGCAGAGCCAAAACAATACAAGTTTTGGCTGTCCTGTGGTAGTCTGACTGCCCATAAAATAAAAAGCCATAAAAAGACTTCAATGTTTTCAAATACTTTAAGAACATGAAGGAAAAAAATAAACTTTGCAAGGACTAATGTAGTTGTATTTTTTGAGTATGCACAAAACCAAATAAGGTATTATTCCCTACAAAGAGGCTTTTTAAGGAAGCTACTAAATATTAACAAAAGTGACAAAACACCCAAAACACAAACAACTAAAAATCTGCTCACTGTAGCCCGAGTCTCAATCTGTTCCCAGCACTCAAGTGTCGCAGGTGGACAGTAAGAATTTATTTGTGACTTCTCTGCTAGGCACAAGACAGTTAGTTGAATCACAGTCTCAGAATTACATAAAAAGCAGTAGTCTCTGTGCACCAGCATTATATTGGGACCACCTGTCCCTTCAGCCAGCTCCTGCAAGATCAGCAGTGCTCCAGCACAGCTACAGGGACTGACTCTAGTGCCCACCTCAGCACCAAGGGCTGCCTGCTGCCAGAGCAGAGCCTCTGCAGTCTGTAAAACGCAAAAAGAACGAATCTGAGAATGAAGGAAAAATTCTCTCCTAGACTGAAGTCTCAGAAACGTGGAAAGAGTTCCAGGCTGTGCACGTCTCACTGTCACTGCCACAAAAGCCTTCCTAAAAAACAGCAATTTCCTGAGTGTCTTATGCAGCTACACAAGCACCCAGAGAGAACGCAAACTAGCAATTGATTTCATTAATTAGAAAAGTTGCTTTGAAGGAACTGAACATTACTGACAGAAGCAGTTTGCAAGCATTGTTCTCTAATGAAATCTAAACTGTCATTTCAAGAAAGGCAAAGGGTTTTTTTTCTAACAAGCAACATGCACTGAAAACTAATTAGAAGCTGTAGGTACATGGCTGTATTTCATACCCAGTGAAAGGCTAATCTCAAATAGCCAACTGCAAATGGCTCAGCTTGTACAGATAAAATGAACAAGTCACTGGAGCACCTTTATTGTCACCTTACACAAGGCTGTCCCAGTGCTGCTCATCTGAAGGGGCAGAGAGGAACGTGACCATTCCCACAGCCTGCCTCTGTTGCTCTGCAGGCACCCCACCAGACCACCATGCATGCTGGATGAATTTCCAATCCTTAAAAATGTAACACTGAGGAGAACAATTTTTGTACCAGCACCTCTAATTCTTGACTCCTGTTCTTTTCTTTCAATCAGTCAAACCAGTGGTTCCTACCTGGTATAACATAACAAAAGGAAAACACAAAAACCCAGCAGTGCTGCCAGCTACATACTGTGCAAAGCAGGATGGATACGCCATGTAAATGCACACAGGTGCTAAAGAGCTTTCATGGTAAAAACAAGAAAGCTACATGTGGTTTTCAGTCATGGGCTTCATTCAAACTGATTGCTATTTGTACAGTTTCCCTTATTTAAATGAAAACTTCTCATCGGGTTTAGTTCTACTAAAATTTGCATCATCAACATGCTAAATGGCAGGTGATGATTCTAACACACTGAAAAATAGCCAAATAATAATTATTCACAAAAACCCCTGGATGCACTTGTCCCCTTAAAATAATCAAAACTGGATTGTATTAAAATGTCCAAGAATTCTAGCCCCTACGAACTAATACAACTTGTTTTAATCAAATGTTGTTTTATGTTATGAATATGCAACATT